ATATTGTTTCTACATACATAATCATCTTTAAATAGTCATTATCTATCCATCATTTTTATTTAGATTGACATTCTTCATTGACATGCTTCATGAGATTGTAGGCCTTTCCCTCATTAAAACGATCAAGTTCACAGTTTTGTACCTTTGTCTTTTTGTTTGATTTTCAAATGTTTTTTTGCTTCAAATCAAAGTTGTGATTCTCTTTGTAGCTGGTTGGTTTGGTTCATGGCTTGTAAAGCTTTAACAAAGACCATATGGTAAAAAATAAAAAAATGGACAGATGCTGTTACACTCTATTAATCAGGTGGTCTCTTCTTATCTAAATGTGCTGTCACATTTACCATTGCTTGGCAAAATTTTGCAGGTGAAATCCAGTCACCAGGAGTTTCAGGTGAGTGCAAAAAATTTTGCATGCAGATTTCACTCGTGTTCAAGCTGCTCACGCCAATTTTGACACACTGACCGGCAGAAAGCTGCTTGGTTTGAGTGAAGTGATTTCTGTAAGAGCAGTACTTCATACAACACTACACTATTGACCTTTTTTGTACGCAAACTTTCACAAATATGACCACATTGTAAGACAGAGATTCTTAAGTCAGAATAAGCTGTGAAGTGGACCAGACTTTATACTGACAATCAGTATAACAAGTTTGGCTATACCAGTTAATGGCAATGCTAAGCTCATCACATTATTACCTTAGAAAAGGTCAGTTTTTGAGTACATTTGTGCAATGCAATGTACATTATTGAAATTATTGTTCAATAATGTACAATATACACTTTGCCCACTACAGTGTTCTGTACAGGAGTGTTTGTGCCACTCTTCCATCCACTCACAACTGGTTCCATGCAGCTGAAGTGCAATCGTACACCACCCTCCCAACCAGCCCTGCAGGTAGAACACTACCCACTCCTGAGGGGAACCAGAGTGTGGTGGCAGGAATGACTAGACTGATGGTAGCCTATTTTTAGACCTGAATCACAAGCACCATAACTTAGTAGGCTTGTTGTTTTCGGACCACTCCTCACTATACCTCCATTCATCCCCCTCAAGAAGTTAGTGCACAGAATTTGCAGTTTGCAGACTATGCAATATTACTTCCTAAATTGACTGCTGTAATTACATCCAAACAAAGATCGCACTGCATTTATAATATGTATTGGCTCAATTGCTAGACTTGAAACAACAACAAACGTTGTTTTAGTCAGTGAACAAAGATTTTAGGAGTGCCTGTATATGGTATTTATGCAATAAGATGACGCCTGTGTATACGCCTGCAGTGCTTGGTCCATTACTGGAATCTAATTACCCAGAGAAAACAAGAGAGCACTCTCTCATATCATAACTCAGGACCCAATAGGAAACTGCATTAGTGTGTGTTTGACAGGAAATAGCTTTAGAAAAGAGTTCTGCCCAGTCTTTCAGCATATGGACAGCAGGTAACATGATATTTTTTATTTAAGCTGTTCATATTCCATTTAATCTATAACACTGCCCTGTATCATATTTGCTGAGTGAAATCCAATACTTGTTGTTTCTTACTAATTTTGGGGTGCTAATTCCAAAAAAAAATTTTTCTCACAACTTATGATGTGTATTTTGCAGCATTTTTGCTTTCGACAACCATTTGTAAGGTGAAGAAGTCTTGTATTATCCATTAATCACCAGAAAAATTACAGATTTTGAGGGGGAAAAAAACTTTATTTATAAACTTGTGTTAATGTAAATTGAGTAAATTGAGCATTTGAACGTGTTTTTCCAGTCCTTTGCAGATTGTAAGTTAAATTATATATTTTCAATACTTATTGTCATTAAAACTGGAAATTTGACTGCTTTTATTTTGATAAGTGCATTAAAGTTGATACATACATAATTTGAAAAATCATTCTTATTTTGTGGAAAAATTAGGTAATATTAGGCCTTTTTTCCAATTAAGCAGGTTTTTTTTTTGAAGATGAATTTCTGTGTAATATGGAGGCCCATTTCCGCTAAGGAATAAAAAAATATATATAAAAAAGGTAACTGGACCTTTTTTTATCTAACAATTCTCACTATTTTCTCAGAATTGTGAGTTTATATTACATTTACATTTAGTCATTTAGCAGACACTTTTATCCAAAGCGACTTACAAATGAGAAAATGGAAGCAATCAAAATCAACAAAAGAGCAATGATATACAAGTGCTATAACAATAAATGTTGAGGGAAAAACACCAGTGTGAAGGGATATGTTAATGATTTGAGTGAGTGCAGGTACAACTACAGGAGAAATGGCTTGAAGGAGATGAGATGGAATAGGATCGATTATATCTCACAATTCTGAGTTTATTTCTAAGAAAAAAGTCTGAATTGTAGGATATAAACTCAGAATTGAGAAAAGAGCTTTGCAAAGCATTGTCAAGGCTGAACATTTTAATTCATACCAGCTAAATCTGACAAAAGCACTTGGCACAGGGTGCAACCATGATGTCAGAGCGGAAACAGTGAGAAGACTGATTTAGGATACGTCAGAATGGAGAGATGAAAGGCTAATTTAGACCTAGAGTTTAAATGTAGTTCAACAGACCATGAAGAAAAACCCACCAGGCATTAACCCTGACAGCTCAAAAAGTGAAATAATAAAGAAAATAGGGTGGAAAATATCTCTGGGAAAGCTCAGAGCAACAAATCACACAGGCTACAGCTTTGAATGACACGGAAAGGCATCTATGCATCCATGCAGACAAGCTAATGCCCTACATGACTCAGCCAGTCCATCACTTATTTATGGCTGGTTTTTATTGATGAACTGGCTTATGAGATTGCAAATAAGCAGACTCTTAAGAGGGTGTGATAGAATAAAACACCGTTTGGATAATTTCTATTTGTATTTATTTAACAAGCTCTGCAGGGTCATCAGCTGTGATTTCATGCATAAAAACACCACAGTTGATAAACTGAATCTCAAGCAGTGATACTTGGGAAACATTCCAGAATGGCACCTAAGGATCAAAACAATTCAGCTCTAACTGTGCAGTTTGTCAGGTATGAAACCTCACTGGCAGTCAACACACACGGTCACTACAGCATCACGTATAGGCTGGACCAAGACGAAAAGCGACTGCAATATATACATGGGAAAAACAATGTAAAACAATGTAAAAACGGCAAAATCCTTTCAGCTCACCATAAACCTATGAGTATGAGAAGTATGAATTGTAAATGTATGGTTAAAATGTACATTATATTCAAGATAAAACATTTTGCAAGTAAAAAAAATTCACCTTATTGGCGACATTACAGTGAAACACAAAAAGGAAACATGAATAGTACTTAAACATGAATACTGGCTATAGTTTATGCATAGGCTTGTCATGATAAACTTTGGTTGTAAGTGTATTTTTACAGCAATTCAATTTCTACAGTTACAACTAAAATACAATTTCTGTATAGCAGAATTTTCACAGAGATAGATAGATAGATAGATAGATCTGCCTCAACGTGTTAATGTATTTACAGAAACAACGCTGCCACGATGAAATTAAACAGGCTACATTGCGATAGTCAACTGATGGCTTGGAAAGATTCGGTAACCAGGACAACGCCTCATCCTCCGCATCATGGACCACAACACCGCGAAACACGGGTGTCACGCTCGCCCACACATACCGAACATCAGAAAGCGGAATGTTTCGTTCATTTTGCACACGCACACACTGACCTGGCGGATGCGGTTCTGGTGGGGTGGAGAGCTTTCATCGGGTGAGGTATTGTTGGAAGAGGCCATCCTCACGTCTCGGACGGAGCCGCCCCTGCTCTGACTTTCTGCCGAGCTTTTTGACATTCAGGCTCAGCGCGTGATGATGTCCACGAAACGGAATCTGGCAGTCCCGATACTGCGGTTGTCGAGACCCGTGCTCCGGCCTCAGATGACAGGGCTGAAGCTCCGACACATGTTGTAGTTGTATTAGAGAGTGGGAGACAGACGAATGTCCTGTGGCGTGACGGTGCGGTGCGGGTCTCACGCGCGGTGTCCTGCGGCACTCCTGCTGCTCACATGCACAGGATCCGATGCTGCAGTGCTGAAACACTGACCGTGATGGAGGATGAATGAGGCTAACTAACGATAAGCCAGAGATAAATCTACGATGGTGTAAGAAAGGCGCAATATGAGCGGTGTTCTCATCGCTGTGTTTAGTAGCCGCCTCCCGTGCTCTTCTCTCTCTCTCTCCCTCACTCCCCTCCTCCATAAGCCAAACCTCCACTTGCACATGACGAGGCAAAATCAAAATCGATTTAACAGATTGGATTTTTGAATATATAGTAAACCCAAAGGTATTTGGACACACGAGGCACACCTAAAATGATGTATTTCATAACGGCATCTGATAGCAAATTATCAAACCAAGTTGTGTGCAAATAAATGATGCTATATTTCATCTGAGAGCTACACTGTAAAAAATGACCGTGAATTTAACGGTAAAAGACTGTAAAAATGCTACAGTAAAAACCTGTACTAAACAGCTCCTTTATTCCTTTAGGCAATTGAATAGCAGGTTTCCATTGTGAGAAGTTACCCCAAATAGCAGGGCAAGTTGTCATAAAACATCATGTTTAATGAACCGTAACTGTAAAAAAAAGTATCATAAAATAGCTTTCCAGCCAAATAGATTAAAAATAGATTTATAAAATATAAATTTACACCGGAATAAATTAACAATTAGCCTCAGTATCTCTTATGTTTATCCGAGTATGTAATGTCCTTTGACTTGTCATTACAAAAGTCCCTCTCTAAATTTTTTTTCCTACTGAATATTCTGTTGTATTCTGAGATGTGTCACATTATGCAAGTAAAATGCTTTTTTAGGCCACTGAAATCTGTATTTACTATACTGATAATAAAGATTTACATTTGCAGTGTAAGCACAATTATAGCAATTGGATGTATTATGATTATGATCACTTTCATTTTTCAAACAGCACAAGCAATAAAAAAAGCACATAAAAATATACACTTTATTAAACATCTACTTTGGAACAGTACTGGACAACAATAACGGAATGATCATACCAATGATGAACAGAGACAGTAATAAATTGACAATGAAACTCATTTTCTAGCTTAAGCTTTCTCAGTACAGATTACTTAAGGTACCATTTCGAACAAGAATCAGTCACTTTTGCTATGCATATTAAGTTCTGCTTTCACGAAAATAAACTTGAACTGATCTGAAACCACAGCTAAGTTGTTGATCAGCACTCAGGAGTCACTATTTAAATAAACTGGCAAACTAAAGGACCATTTGCTTTCAAGTAACTGGGTTATGCAAAATATGTTAATGCCAATGCAGAAAGCAGAATTGTAAATAATATATGCAACATACTGAACTCTCAGCAGCCGTAACTCATTTTTCTATGGACCGACAGCTGTAAATGAAAGAGATTCAGGTTTGGAAAGGCACAGTATTACTTGAAAATGTTGATTTTCAGGATGAAGAACCTGGAGAGGAAAACTTTATTTGATTTCACTTTTAAATGTATGACTAAGCAGTTAATAAAAGCAGCAAATATGCTTCCATTCATTTTAATTACGTTAAACCAATTAAAGGGAGATGCTTAAATTTAATTATCCAATACACCTTTTAGAAATGTAAGCGTAATTTAGGTTTAAAAAACAAACCTTTTCTGGGCTTTGTAGCATTTTCAATGAACCAGCAGCACCTAACAGCAGAATTTAGTGCAGTATAATCGGTCGCTGACTCCACCCCAACACCATTTACAGGAAGTCATTCTGAATAGCTTATCATTCACTCAATAAACATCAGACAGCAGCGAGTTGGTCAAGGTTGTCCTGGGAACGGCTGGCGAGGTGCGCCTCTAGTATCTCTCCAAACAGGCCTCTCTTCAGCAGATTGTACGCCATTGGCAGCAGCTGACGTACCACTTTATAGAAATACTACCAAAAGAAAAAAAAGGTAATGGTCAGTTGTCTGGGAGAACTCTGTATCATGAGAAACCTGTCAGAAATGGCACAAATTCTCTGGACACAAACACTGCATTTGCCTACAAGGCATAATGCACAGTCCATACTGAAATGTGAAAACTTAAAGGGGTGGTTCACTGGGTTTTTTCTAGGCTTGATTGTGTTTATGGGGTGCAGTCTAACATGTGTTAATGCTTCGTTAAAAAAAAAAAAAAAAAAAAAACGCATTATTTTCCACATAATTTACCTTTATGCCACACAGCTCTGTCCCTTCTCTGAGAAACGCGCTGATCTTTACTGTTTTTATGAAGCCCCGCCCTCAGAAATAGGCGATGGGCTCTGATTGGTTAGCTAGCCCAGTGTGTTGTGATTGGCTAAACCGCCTCTAGTGCACATCTAAACGGCCTGCCCCTCTCCTTTTTTTTTTTTTACGTGCACCCCTAGTTTTCTCTTCCTCTTCTCTAAAGCAGCACAGCATGGCCTCGCCCCCTTTGCTGCCTTTTCCCGAGGGAGGGGTTTATCTGGGTTTGTGATGTCACGAACCCGGGAAGTAACTTCTTGTAGTCCCTATGAGCCGTTTTTTTTGTAGGCATTAAACTGCCATAATTTTAAAAGACGATATCTCCGTTTGCATTGAACTTTCAGCTTCGTAACTTTGTAGATATTGTTTATGCTCAAACAGCAACATTACACACTAACTAACGTTAAAAAAGTGAAATCGCAATGAACTACCCCTTTAAAAAGTACAGCAACTGCATGGAAATCTGTGTGTGGTTTAATACACATCCTGGTCTAAATGCTTGTCTCAGCAAGATATTAATGCAAACAGACAGGAAAAATCAATTATTTCTGTGCATTATGTCTTGCAATGTAAATCTAGTCTAAAAGACCTGCTGAGGTATAATGTCCTCTTAAAAATATCCAAACAGCAATTTTGACAACATATACAAAACACCTTTACATAAACCTTTTAATGTCAAGATTATTTTATTACAATCTTTTATTACTTTTAATATTAAATTTACTTCAGCAATTTTTGTCACTGAAAAATGTCATTGCTATGGTTATTTTTGATTATTCATTTGCATTAATATTCACCTTTCTAAATAGATAAATAAAACATCTAAAAAATGTGTTCAAAAGTAAATTAGTTGTTCCTGTGGTAGAGACTAACTTTTGGCATCCAGATACATAATGCAGACAACTGCAAAAACTACAGAAAATATCGAAATATAAAGGAGCATAAACATACATTTTTGCAAGTATTCAGGTTTGAACATCTGCTGTAGTATTGGTTGTATGTGTGTGTTAATCTTACATGTGAGCCATAACAGAACAGATCAATCCCAAGCTCATAGCCCATGCCGTAGTCACATTCATCATTGGCAAACTGAACAAAGGTGATCATTTCCTGAATGGGCGCGAAAGCTTTCATCCTCTCCTCATCATCTATGGCCTCTACAATCGTTTTGCAAATCTTCTTCAGACTTGCTACAGGTAAACAAAATGAAGAAGGAAAAACTGCAAATCAAAGTCTTTCATTAAAATTAGGGTTGTCAAGAGATTAAGGCCTGGTTTCACAGACATTGCTTAGACTAAGCCAGAATTAGGCCATAGTTCAATTAGGACATTTAAGTAATTTTTCATAAACGTGCCTTAGAAAACACATTACTGGTGTGCATCTTGAGCCAAAACAAAGGCACTGATTTATTTTAAGATCAATCAGTGCAAGTTTCTTTCAGTTGACACAGCTCAGACTTACATTTTAGTCTGGGACTAGGTTTAAGCTTGTCTGTGAAACCAGGGGTTAAATCTTTTATCTAATTAATTACATGTGCAGATTAATAATTTTGGCGGAGAAATTACACCCCAAATTATCTTTTAAAGTCATTGTGTTAGATGAGAAAAGCATTAAATAGACATTACAAAAAGTAGCTTTATAAAGAAATATTTTGATTCAACATTGCATAATTGAATCATTTTAATGTGTTGTTTTTTCCATAATTAATTGCACCAAATTAACAAATTAAATCAACAGCATTAAAAGGCAACACATCCTAAAACAGTTGTATGAGATTTTTAGGTTTACCATCGGTTTCTGGCAATTCTCTATATCCAACATCATTTTTATCCACAGGAACCACAATTCCCGCTCCATGAAATGTCTTTGTGACCACCTGCAGAAAAAACATTGGAAATTAATTTTATTAACTGCTGGCATTAAACTTTAAAACATACCACAAATGTTTTACAGTGATAAAAGGGTGGTTCTGTCAAATCGTCTTACATCACATTACAAAACACACCTTTCTCTCTCTTTGCTTCATTGCTTTAGTTTTCAGTTCCAGAGGCAAATCTAACCTCTCGGCCTCTCGCTTCAAATCTTCTTCTAACCAGTCCAAAGCTTCTTCGTTTTTCTGTTGTCCTCTCTCCTTCCTTTTCTTCTGCAAAAACAGCCTAGGTGGTGTGGCAGGAGAGAGAGAATAACATTATGCAAAGAGAAACATGAAAAAAAATTTAAATATTAAATTACAAATATTTCACACATTTAAAGCAGCAGTATGTAACTTTTGGCGCTCTAGCGGTTAATAAACAGAACTGCACACATCCCGCGTAAGAACATTCCAACCGGAGCTACTTCTCTAAGTTTATGTCAATGGCGATTCACGCAGGTATGTGTTACTCCGCAGCAGTGACGACCCGACCAGGCTACAATAGTCCAAATATAAGTACTTATTATAAGTGTACCGGTGATTCGGAATAAGACAAAAACGCGGTTTGGAAGATGAATTCATGATGTACTCGCTCATTATATACACTTTGCTAATTTTGAACACAGAAAAAGTTACATAGTGCTGCTTTAAAATTATATAAAAACATTTTGATAATTATTTTCACATTTTCATTTAAGTTGAATAAATTCATGTTGAGAACGAATGTTGAATGTGAATGTTGAGACAGAGCGAGTCAAGTAGGTGATACTGCGCATGTGTCGAGCGGTTGAGTATACTTTGAAAGCTGTGAGGACGCGGATGTGCACGAGATGGAACGGAACACGGAAAGTGAAGTAAACCCAGACCTTTAGTGGTCAGCTGCTGTAGAGCGTGCCAAAATCAAAATGACTGATTACTGGAAAATGAGATGTCATCGCCCATCGCGACGTTTCACTGTAGACATCATCTGATGCCAATTTGGTAGACATCGCCCAACCCTAACGGCAACCGGTCAAAGCATCTATACACATTTTCATTTATACTTGTATTATTTATTGAAGACACTCACAGAACAGCTGCAAAGATGTTGTCCCCCATCTGTGTGATAGTACAGCCCTTCTTGGCTTCATTCTCCCCAATGAACACAGGCAAAGCATCAGGTAAATCTCTGTACAGGGAGACATGTACAGTGAGAAAATCACACTGAAACACCTAATTATTTTAGAAAACACCTTTATTTTTTTTTTTTAAAGAACCATGAAGTTGCAGTTTGAGGTGCCAAAATAGCTATTGCAATCATCCTTGCAACTTTTTTTTTATCATCCAATTACAAAAATAAATGTCTTTCACAGGTAAACAGTCACCTGAAGTAGCCCATGTGGTGCTGGGTGTCTACACTGCCCTGTATGATGGTCTGGAACTCTGGGGGATCATAGAAATAACGCCAATGAAGGTGAAAGTTGGGTTGAGAGGAAGATGAGTTTTTGTGATTTTTGGACAGGATATCAAACGGACCAACTAGCCGAAGCCCAAGTGTTTCCTTTAGGGCATCTGTAAAGCACACAAAAACACATGCAAAAAATTTAACACCAGTGTAACAAGACATATATTCGTTTTAAAATATTTATAATATGTTGAAAATGCTTATGATAATAGTGAAAAAACAAACAAACATGTTAATAGTGCTGGTATAGATATGGAACCATCAATATAAGACGGATACCTTGAGGACAGTCAGCACTAAGACCCTTGCAAAATTCCCAAAACTGGAAAAAATCATCAGGCATGCGTAGCTTGTACAATTTTTCCACTTCTTCTCGCATTCCAGCTGTCTTCTCATCCCTCTGGCCTTCTTTTGCTTTTTTCACCTCCCCGTTTGGTGTTTCTGTCTGGAACAGGCAATAATACGTTTGAATAAGTTACACTGGAAGAAATAATATTTTAAGAAATAAAATAATACAAACAGAAACCAGCATTTTCTTCATGTTAGCTGCAAATAGACTGAAATAATTCTACTCTTCATTTACACACAAACATTAAATGTTTTAGTCTAAACCTAATAATTGTAATAAGGAAGAAACACTTCAATTTTGTAAAGAAACCAGTTATGTTCATTACAGTTGAGGTAAGGAAAAAGGTGTGCAATGCAGATTAATATTTATAATGGTCATTACAATCCAAGACACACCTATAAACTAATGTCTAACTGATGTCAGATGAAGGTTTTGCACCTGATACAATGTTCTGATACTGACACAACATTTTGTGTAAAACACTGTAGCTAAAGAACACTGAAGACACGAACAGACATTTGCATGGTGATTATTGACATAATATTCAAAAGCACTGATTGATTATACAGGTTGAATGTACAAACAAAATAACTGAAGTGTAGTGGATGCTAAAGACATACGAGCCACTATCATTCACAAACGAGCAGCACATAACCTCTCAGTAAATACTCAACGTAATAGGTAAACTGAAAACTTTACTATGGCTGGCCACGAATTGATGAGGATTTTATGATGTACCTGCGGCAAAGATCTGGGTTTTCTTTTCCCGCGCCCCGCCATGCCTGCTGATTTTTCCCGCACTCTCCACGTAAAGCGCTGCAGCCAGTAGAAAAGTTCTGAACATCCGGTAGCGATTTCAAAATAAACGTCGTAACTTGTGATTTGTTGTGAAAATGTATTATTATTATTATTATTATTATTATTATTATTATTATTATTATTATTATTATTATTATTATTATTATTATTCCCTACTGAATAAGACGCAAATTCATATTTTTGTCCAGATTTTCTCATAGAACTGATTTTATTTTCAAATAATACAAAGCAGTGTTTATATTATTTTCTATATTTGCAACAAAACTAATATGCTTGTAATGCAGCCATGTCAAAAGTGAAAATGAAATGGAATTTTCAATACAAGATTTTGAAATAACATTATGGCACCTATGAATAAGAGTTGTTTAGTGGAGACCTCAGTTTCTAGACGTTTCATATGAAATTTTTAGAATAGCGTTTTTTGATTTATAATAATGCCTAATAAATATTTATTGTTTAATATTTAGGCTAGAATTTATATTCATATTTATCTTCATGCCAACGGAGAATTTAAGTAGGCTATACAAATGAATTAAATGAATTAAAACTTTTTTTTTAAATATATATATATATTTTAAGTTCTGTATTCATGCAGTTCTGTATTTATAGCAGTGTAAACGAGATATTTAGACTATTCTCGGACCACATGACGTGACACAGAGGGAGGTGACAGAGGGAGTTTAAAAGGATCGGTCAGTGTGAGAGACACGCTTATGGCAAATAACTCTGTTAGTTGAAGTTGTCAGTGACTCAGATTCCGGACTCACAGCGGGAATAATGATGTTCTGCAGACTGGCTTGGCAAAGACTTGCGCCTCTGGCACGCAAAACACTCACTCCTTTCAGCAATGGTAAGAAAACGTCGATTTCCAGTCCATCGTTACATCCATATTCAATGCAGTTTTGCAGATGAAATTCACCAGCCTACACCTCGCAATCTAAGAGAGAGTTTTAGAAAAAAAATGTAGCATGTTCCAAAAAATAAAAACTGCATATACTTTGAAATATGAAATGGAAATTGGGAAAATTAATTCGACACTTTTGGACACTTTTAATTGGTCTCTTTTAGGAGGTGTATCAGTGGTTTACGACTTTACCTCAATGCAGAACATTGAGTTCTGATATTTATTTTATGCAACAAGTGAGTCGATTTCCAGTCCATCGTTACATCCATATTCAATGCAGTTTCGATTTTGCAAATGAAATTCACCAGCCTACACCTCGCAATCTAAGAGAGAGTTTTAGAAAAAAAATTTAGCATGTTCCAAAAAATAAAAACTGCATATACTTTGAAATATGAAATGGAAATTGGGAAAATTAATTCGACACTTTTGGACACTTTTAATTGGTCTCTTTTAGGAGGTGTATCAGTGGTTTACGACTTTACCTCAATGCAGAACATTGAGTTCTGATATTTATTTTATGCAACAAGTGAGATATGCTCATTAAATTCATCCAATATTAAGTCTGTTTATAGGGATTTCATAAATCAGTAAACTGGAAAGACCTCTTTTGTCTTTGCATTTGGAAGAGACCCATAAGTGTTTTATGTAATGGAATATTCGAAGAGAGTCTGTATATTGTAAGTGTTTTTTGTTTTGTTTTTGTATTGCAATGATTAGAAGGTATTGTTTGTACTGTTGTGATTATTTTCATGATTATTATTTATTGTAATACAGTGTTTTATATGGTATTATTTATTGAACATATTTGCATAATTTGTAGGAAAGTGCTAATCAATAAATTATGTGTGCAGCAACCTGCATTCCTAAGTAAATCTGGAAATTTAGTTTTAATTGCTGCTTTTATTTATTCTATGATTGTTAGTTCATTTTTAAAGTTACAACCTGCACTGATAAGGACATTGCATATTATTATTATTTTGCTCATTTCAATTAAATTACCAATGAAGAAATTTGAGTTTGAATAAGGATATAGAATCTTGTGGTAAATCAAATGTGGTGACATTTTTTAAGGCAAGTTGTGATTCATTTTTAAGAAGAGTGTTTCATTTTGTTTCATTGTTCATTTTGTTTGATTTCAGCATTTTTCTGAATTTTGAGTTTGTTTTTAATGCAGAGTTTTCCATAACAAACAGCTGGGACATGTAAACCTTTCCCTGCTCAGTGCATCTGTGGGAAATAGCTGAGTTTGATCTGTTTAAAGTTAATTTCCTGCCGAAGGATTCACTCAGAAATTTTTTTTTTTGTTGTCATTTTCGTTTTAAAATCTGAAGATCTCCTGTCACCTTTAACTTTGAGGGCCAGTTTATGCTGGCTCAGCATTTTGTGCATGATTGAACTGATGTATTCACAAAATCTGCTCAGGCATTTTCTAAAACTCCCCAAATATTTGAAGAGGGCCCTATGCAGGGCTCTCTGCCAACATGAATTTGCCTTGGGTTCTGCACACTGACATGCCTGCTGTCTCCACCCAAGTGGCGCTACATTATGCCAGTGTTTATATGTAAAGCTCTCACTGTTTTCAGAGAGCATGACTGTGCACATGTTGTCCTGGACACCTGCTGGTCTACCTTCACCTTAACAGTCCGTTGACGCATGCAGCCATAAATTAGATTAAATGTATAAATGAGGCACAGGCCGTCTTGGTGCAGTCACCTTGTTATTGAAGTCGTTCCTGAAATTCTTGCTTGGTTAAACTGGAAATAACTATATAAAGTCTAGATTTTGTGACGTGGCTGTATAGTTTGTCCTGTGCATGTACTCTAGTGTTGCTTTAAGAGAGTGGGTGGGAGAGGCAGTTTAACTGTTGGACATTGTGTTCTCTTCTGCTGCTTCATTGCAGCTACACAGAGGATGTGTGTTTGCCTAAATGCATGCACAGACACAAAAGCCTAAAACGCATGCTTGCTGCATCAGGTTTGTCTCGTCCAGTGTAACTTTGCATGTTACTTAAAATGTCCACTTACCAAACTCATTCTCTGATACAACTTTATTAGTGGCACAATTACTGGTACTGGTGAAAATAACATTACAACAACTGAGGGACAGTAGCAGTTTTTGAAAAACTGATATTATTTTTATGTTATAAATATTGAAATTATTTTTTTACTGTTTTTTTGGATGATTGGCTTTTAAAGTTAAACCTGTAAAGCCTAACATATGAAAAAATAGTCAGTAAAATGTAATTGTTATGAAATGGAAGAGTTTATTGAACTTTTAGATAAAATATATAAAAAAGAGCATAATATTTGATACATCATGCTTTTGTGGCTCATATAATATGATATAGGAGAATATGGAGAACATTCTTGAGGAAGAAAAAAACATCTAAATTTTATTCAGAGGTCCAAACTGAGCACAAATGTGATGTTTATCTGGTCAAATGGTATGATTAAATTCTGATATAATGTAGAGCAATGAGGTATACAGTATAGCAACAAAAATGCATATACATATCAGTTGTCAATCTATATCTTCCAATAATGTCTTACTAAAATGATATTTAATTGCTTAGTTGTTCAAAGCTTTGTAGTTTTTATGGGTGCAAAACATAATGCAGTGCAATATAATGATGACTGAGAGATAAATGTTCCTCAAAAGGCTGATGTATCATATCTGATACTCACATTTTAACATCATTTTTCTTAAAAATGAAGAATGGATAATCAAATTAAATGACATTGCTTTAGTCCAGTAAGTGTTCATCTTGATAAATATGAAATATTACTAATTCTAAACATGTCCCACAACCTCCAGGGGGACCTGTTTAGAATTATACTAAAGACGTTTTACTAAAAGGCTTTTTACTTTTTACTTTGATTATGCTGATAATTTAGAGGCCTTAAAAATGTGTGTATCAGATACAATACAGTAGGCTTTATACAGTTAGTAGTTTTTGCATGGGATTTAAATTTTTCAAAATTGGATTGATGGGTGGTCAAGGAAAAGAGACACAGCTTCATTTGCATGTACTGATAAGTGTTTCCCTTTATCTTTCAATAGCTGTGTTCCCTACGCGACAGATGTCCTTTGGCCTACCTGCGTCCGGCACAAACATAGCTTACATGGTACTTGGTGGAAGCTCGCTTACTGCTGCTCTTGTTTATGTATGTATTTTTTATTTCTTCATCCTGTTTTAGAATACGTTGTTAATATTATAATTTAACAAAAACATCCATTTATCCTCATCTAAACTCATTTTCCTCCGAACAGGCTTATAAGACAATAAATTCTGACAGTGCAAGATATAATGAAAGAATTGCTCAACTCGAGGCCAGACCTAAAAGTAAGTTTTATTTTATTTTATTTTTTTATTTTTATTTTTTTTTCTATTTTATTTTATGTAATTTAATGTATTTTTTATTTGATTTTATTTGATTTTATTTTTGTGGCATAGCGCTGTTTTTGTGTATGACTACCTGTTTTCATTTTGCCTGTTAAAGATCACAGTTAATCTTTCAACATCAGTAAAGTGGAAATAATTTACACAGACAGCTGGGATTAGATTCCCATTCAGAGATTTTTCATTGTTGGATTCATTGAACTGATGGGTGCCGTGAGGCAGGGTGTCACGTTTTGCTGCTGGTATGTGTATGTTACTGCAGTTCCTCAGACCTGATCCTATTTCTGAGGTTACTCAGCAGCCACTAAGCTAGCTACATTTAGAGCAGCTTTCACTTGTTTACTTCTCCTGTTTGTGTGCTGCTGCTAACCACCTTACTTTTTGTTCTCCCATCAGGTGAGGAGGGTGAGTATAAATTTAGCATTTAGCATGTCTGTTTTTGAGTGATTGAAAATGCAGTCATAAATCGATAACAAAACTTTTCTATAAATTTTGGTCTGTCCCATTTTACTTGTTTTGCCTGCTGCAGTATGTATCACGTAACTCAGAATAGAAGCACTTTTCCAATATTAGTTGCACAACTTTTTAGTGTTTGCAGACAGTTTAAAGGAACACTCCACAATTTTTTAAAATAGGCTCATTTTCCAACTCCCCTAGAGTTAAACAGTTGAGTTTTACCGTTTTCGAATCCATTCAGACGATCTCCGGGTCTGGCGGTAGCACTTTTAGCTGTAGCTTAACATAGATCATTGAATCTGATTAGACCGTTAGCATCTCGCTCAAAAATGACCAAAGAGTTTAGATATTTTTCCTATTTAAAACTTGACAATTCTGTAGTTATATCGTGTACTAAGACCGACTGAAAATTAAAAGTTGCGATTTTCTAGGCCGATATGGCTAGGAACTATACTCTCATTCCGGCGTAATAATCAAGGAACTTTGCTGCCATACCATGGGTGCAGCAGGCGCAATGATATTACGCAGCACCTGAAAATAGTCCC